ATTTATTACGTGGAATAAATAGGTGGCCGAGGAAACATATTTTATTCGAATAATGGATTTATGTTGCAACAGTTGTAGACTAACTTCAGCCTAAGAAACTTCTGCTTGCTTCGAATTATAGAAAAACGAAAAATTGCCCTACTCTTTGTCTCTGGAGGCCACTTAATCCTAGCTGTTTGAAGTACGCTACCTTGTTACTGAATTAATGAATAATATGTAGTTCATTATCAGTGTTATATTCTCTCTCGCCACGTTAATGTATAAATTTAAAGTAGACGTAAGTGTTGACCTGTAAACAAACATCATAAGAAGATAGCCGTGTCCTAGATGTTGTGGGTTGTAGTCTGGTAGATACTGACCGACGTTTCAGAGACGCTAACAGTCCAACATCCCAGAGGGCAGTTTCCTTGTCGCTGAGAGAATCTCATTTCTCATTAAGCTACACACACCGTCATGGAAGTAGAAAGTATTGAAAATTTAAAATTGCCCTGGTCAGGGAACATAGTACAAAAGATTTAAGTTAAATTTAATTGTAATTACTTAAAATCTGTGAGGTTTGTGCCTCACTAGGAACGCGGAGGAATGGGGTTTGAGCTGTTGGTTTTGAAACAACCAGAAATGTACACGCCCCTTCTTTGTGTCGGTCTGATTGATCTGCGGGAGAATCACGGCCCTCCGTTTCGAAAACTCATGGCTTCTTAACATTGCGTCACATGATTGTATGTCAAGGGTAGGCACGGCGACAATCTCGTGTGGGGACTATTAACTCGTCCCGCGTGGAGAAGCCTTGACATCCTTCGTAAATTATACACGAAAACAACTTCACCACCACAGCAGACGTGCAGGATGAGATTCTCCTGAGTCACCTCACTTTGGTCCATATTCCAGTTCCTTCATTTAAATCTGCTTTTGAGTTCTTCGTGAGAAAGTATGCTGTGGAGCTGATGCCTGGTCATTTGACCGTCTGCATGTTTACAGGTTTCGATAGAATTTGCCTTTTGAAAGCCTTCTCTAAATATCAATTAAGTATTTATTGTGATCTGTATCGATTCGCCATAAATATCACTTACATTATACACGTGCATTGTATGAGAAACCTAATCTAGTGGTTCCCAAACTTCTTTTGTTATTTGTCCCAATAGAACTTTTCAGACGTGTTTTGCATTAAATTCTTTCTTTCCACGAATTAGGGAAATAATCATTTTATATAACGCTCATCATTTCCTTAAACACCTGTTATGATTCCGTCTGCTTTCCAAGACGTCAAAGATTAAAACTAATACTAATAGAGTAATTTTAAATGTTGTTCTGTAGGATTTCAAAACGTGGTCTTCATTCTCAGAAGGAACAAATTTAGGGTGTCTGAGAACATGTTCATTAAAGTATTAGGACCTAAGAGGAATACACTTAGTGGGTATTTAGAATATAAAATTATCAGGAATGCACATTTCTGATGGTGTTAGCCTTGTGAA